AAGACCAAAAATTATGAAACACACACATACACACACATACACACACACACACACACACACACACACACACACACACACAGACATATGGAAAATGCCTCGGGGCATTAGTCTGGGCAAAGAGCTTTTAGATATAATCCTAAAAGTACAGGAAGCAAAATAAAAAATTTACTGATGGGATTACATCAAACTAAAGAGCTTCTGTACAGGAAAGGAAATAATTAACCAGGGGAAGAGACAATCTATACACAAGGAGAAAATATTTCCAAACTATGCATTTGATAAGAGATTTATTCCATAATATTCAAGGAATTCAAACAACTCAGTAGCAAAACTCCTCAAGAATTCAATTAACATTTCTCAGAAGAGATATTCAACAAGTGTGTGAAAAAGCTCATCATCGCTACTTATCAGGGAAATGCAAAACAAACCCATGGTGTGACCCAAATTAGAATGGCTGTGATCAAAAAGACAAAAATAGGGGCTGGAGAGGTGGCTCAGCGGGTAGGAGCACTGGCTGCTCTTGCAGAGGACCCAGGTTGATTCCCAGCACCCACATGGTGGCTAACAACCATCTGTAACTCCAGTTCCAGGGGCTTCTGATGCCCATTCCTGACTTCAGGGGGTATCGCATGACATGGGTACACTTATCTATGTCTAGGCAATTCATTCATACACGTAAAGTAAAAATAATAAAATCTTTTTTAAAGGATAAAAAATAAAAATAACAATATTGGTGAGGATCTGGAAAAAGGGAACTCTCATACAATGTTCATAGAAATGTTAAAATTGAAGCCATTATAGAAGACAAGGTCGTTTCCACATGAAATAAAAATAAAGCTACTGCATGATTCTGCAAGCCTACTGCTGGGTAAACATCCAAAGGAATCAGTATCAATACAAAGAAACTTCTGAATTACATTTTATTGCAGCTGTATTTAAAATAGCCAACATTTGAAATCAACCTATATGTGGGATGAATAGGAGAAGAAAACATGGCCTGACAACTTGGATTTGATCCCCAGAACCCACAGAGTGGAGTAGAGAACCGATTCCCATGGGTTATCCCCTGACCTCCACACGTGTGCCATGGCACATGTGATGGGAAAAATGGGTTCTGATCTGGAATTTGTTTTAACAACCTCCAGGAAAAAAAGGCAGAGAGAAAATATGGTTAAATGAAAGAAGACGGGTTCACCACACAACTCGTTCTGTGTGAATATGTAATTTTCTGTGATAAAACAATTTTAGCAATGAGACGAGATAGCTAGAGACAGCATATCTGGACAGCTCTCTTCAAGGTATCTGGCATGTCATTTACACGGTGTGGACTATGTGCCAAGTGATCTTTGGATGTTACACGAACCTTATACAGCAGGCTCTGTCATCACCTCAACCTCACAGTTAAGGGAGCTGAAGTAGAGAAAATTCAGGATTTATTTCCTTTTAACTATTTCCTTTTAACTGTGTGTGTGTGTGTGTATGTCTGTGTGTAGGTAAACACAAATGAGTGAAGGTGCCTGTGGAGTCCAGGAGGGGATATTAGATCCTCTGGCACTGGAGTTACAGGTGGTTGTGAGCTACCCAGCATGGGTGTTGAGAACTGATCTCAGGTCCTCTGCAAAAGTAGTACATACACTCAACTGTTGAACCATCTCTCTAGCTGTCAGGAACTTAAAAAATTATTATGGTGTGTATGTATGTGTGTGTGTATGATGGTGTATGATGTATCTGTGTGCTCATGATGTATGTAAGGGGGGGTATACCATGATGCATGTGCAGAGGTCAGAGGACAACCTTCTGGAGTCAGTTCTCCCCTTCCACCTTCACATGGAAGGGTCACACATGACCCACATGCGGTGAGGTAGAGGAGTCCAGAGTTGTAGAGTGTGCTACAGCTCTTCCAAAGGGAAAATGTTAGTGTGAAGGAGGAAAACCTGCATAGAGCACAGAGCAGGAGGAAGAAAAGTGGGGGCAAGGCCGACCCTACACAGGACAGATGCAGGTCATAGATGTGTGTGGCTGTAACCCCTGGAATGCTCCAGGAATGTACCTGTCTACAGTTGTACCTAACACCACAAAACCTAATAGCTACCTCCTTTGCCACACACCTGCTGGGGCCGGGCAGAGCTGCAGATCTCAGATGATTTACATCATTAGTCCCTGCAAGAGTACACGTGAGATACCTGCTTTGGAGTGGCAGCTCTGAAGTCTGCTGACCTGTTCATGCTCACAAGCTTAGAAGCAGTGCAGTCAGACAACTAAAGCTATCTGACACCGATCTTGCTGCAAACTCAACTGTTTTCTCATTTTCCACTTGTTTTAAGATGTCTTGTAACTGCTTATTGAAGCATTCTTTCATAGTACACTTATGCACATCAAAAGAGTATGTGTGCTGAGCTGGGTACCACTCAGTGCTAAGTGCTTGCCTAACATGTATGAGGTCCTGGATTCAATCCTCATTACTGCAAAACACAACAAAAGAGTGTGTGAAACTGGCGAGAACAGCACAAGGACCATAGTTCGCTGTGCTCTCTCAGGTCAAACTCTCAGTTTCAGTGATGTAGCAAAACAGAAATTACAAGTGGCTGAGAAGTGCCTCCAGTGGTAGCAGTTGCAGGCCCTCAGTGCCCAAGGCCTAGGGTCTAGATTGGCACATCCAGAGGCTTACAGCTCCGGTTCTGAGACCTAGGGGCCTTTTGCTCTCGGCTCTGTGTGCTCAGGGTAGAGGCTTATTACTCTGGGTTTTAACTTCAAGTAACATCCAAATCTCCACCCCAACTTGGCAGCTATTATTCTTTTGAAATATTTTATTATTATTATTTTTTTGGTCTTTTTGAGACAGGGTCTCCCTGTAGCCTGAGCTGTCCTAGAACTCACTATGTAGACCAGGCTGGCCTTGAACTCTAATATTTATTATTTTTATTTTATGTGTCTGAGTGTAATGCCTACGTGTATGCAGGTGCACCCGTGTCGTGCAATGGCATCAGAGGTCAAAAGAAGATACCTGATCCCCTGGAACTGGAGTTACAGATGGTTGTTAGTTGACTTGTGGAGCTGGGAATTGAACCAGGGTCCTCTGCAAGAGTAACCAGTGTTCTTAACCACTGAGCCATTTCTCCAGCCCATTTATTTCTTATTTTTATGTTAATGAATGTCCTGCCTATATGTATGTAATTGCACCTATGTTGTGTAATGCCCGTAGAGGTCAGAAGAGGGCATTGGATCCCCTGGAGCTGGAGTTACGGATGGTTGTTAGCCACCATATGGGTCCTAGGAATCTGGATCCTCTGCAAGAGCTGTCAGTGCTCTTAACTGCTGAGCCATCTCACCATCCCACCTTGGCAATTATAATTATAATCCTCAGTGCCCAACAGCAATGAACAGCTGCAGCAAGTGGCAGCAGGCAGCAGTTCTCTGGTTCTGGGACCCTTAGCCCTCCATCCATTATTGTTACAATTCTTGGGCAATTAGTGTTACAGTTCTCAGGCCTAGACTACTGAGGTCCTCCACCCTTGACAGCAGCTACTGTCACCCCTTGTGGCCTAGACTATTTGAGAAGCTTGACCCCTAAGACTCAGAGTCTTCCTGGGATACTTCCAGGGACCAGGCCCTGCAGTTTCTCTTCTCTAGCTCCTCATAACCTTCTTTCTGCAGCCTCTTCTCTCTCCTGTCTCCTTATTTATGTATCTCTCATTGTCTCTCTTGTCTCCACTTCCTGTTTTCCCCAGATGCTCTCTAAAAATCCCTAGCTGCCTGTTCATTACTACTGCTGCTGTTGCCACTACCTTAGTGGCACCATCCACCTCCCCTGCCACTGCCACATCCATTACTGCTACAGTTCTGATGCCACCTCCTCCATATCCTCTTTGTGTAGTGTACCAGTTCAGTCCACTCTCCTAGTGGTAAGATCAAAAGTAGACAAGAACCAGGTGTGGTGGCACACACCTTTAATCCCAGCACTTTGAAGCAGAGGCAGGCAGATCTCTGTGAGATGGCGGCCAGGCTAGTGTACATAGTGAGTTCTAGGCCAGCTGAGGTTACAGGGAAACCTTGTCTCAAAACAAACAAACAAAAAAGTCAAAAACAAAAAGCAGGCAGGAAAAGTCCATTCAAGAAAAGCCTTTTATTTATCCTAATACTGCAATGTCAGAAAGCAGCACAGGAGGGTGTGTCCTGGCTAACTCAAAACGTCAGAGGAATAACCTGCTTATGTAGCCAGAAAGGGGGTATGACAAAAGTGTTTGTACCCATCACAGCACACCTTCCTGCAAACTAAAGTCCACGTTTGCATCAATCATAGCACAGCCCTTCGTGCACCAATCACAAGCTTTCTGCTGGGCCGTCAGGGGAGCTACTTCCCTCTGGCCTGGGTGCAGTGGCTGTGAGATCGTCTAGTTTGTTACTTCCCTCTGGCCTGGGTGCAGTGGCTGTGAGATCGTCTAGTTTGTTACTTCCCTCTGGCCTGGGTGCAGTGGCTGTGAGATCGTCTAGTTTGTTACTTCCCTCTGGCCTGGGTGCAGTGGCTGTGAGATCGTCTAGTTTGTTACTTCCCTCTGGCCTGGGTGCAGTGGCTGTGAGATCGTCTAGTTTGTTACTTCCCTCTGGCCTGGGTGCAGTGGCTGTGAGATCGTCTAGTTTGTTACTTCCCTCTGGCCTGGGTGCAGTGGCTGTGAGATCGTCTAGTTTGTTACTTCCCTCTGGCCTGGGTGCAGTGGCTGTGAGATCGTCTAGTTTGTTACTTCCCTCTGGCCTGGGTGCAGTGGCTGTGAGATCGTCTAGTTTGTTACTTCCCTCTGGCCTGGGTGCAGTGGTTGTTACTTCCCTTCCGGCCTGGGTGCAGTGGCTGTGAGATCGTCTAGTTTACAGAAGCTTGTCTTGTTCAGCATTCTGTTTTCTAAAGCTGCCCAAGTGTAGGCACCATGTGGCACTTCTCACAAAAATCAATTCTACAAAACCACCTAGTGAAATACAAACACCTAATAAGCAGTGTCACTTGCACCTGGTTCATTCAAAGAAGGGCCACCAGGAGTGGTTAATGCCACAGAGATGCAAATACTGTTGCTTTTTCTATGTTTCAGTTTTACATGTTCAGCTGCTTTTTATTTCCACACAGCAGAGCGAGAGGAGAAATGCATAATTGAAGATGTTCCAAGTGACACGTCGGTGTCAGGTGGGTGAGCTGTACCCTGCTGAGGGCTGTCACAGTGTTGCTTTGTGCTATAATGCTGATCTTTTGAAGTCTATCTTATTTGACAGTGACTATAATGCTAAATGGGTTTTTTTCTGTTGGTTTATCGAGTTATGCAAAACTGATGTGAAAATTGCCTGAAGCGTGAATTGTATAATTCATAAAACAGGAAGCCTGGATCTAACGCCTCAGAATCCAAGCTTGATTTGTTGTCTTGGATGTCAGGTTTCCTTAAGTAGAAGAATCTCTGATTTAACATGCTGAACACTCAGAACATATGTGAGACCAATCTAGCTAAACAGGACACACAGCATGGATCCACACGAACCCAGCCTCCTGGAGCCCACTGCACTCAGCAGGGCATGCAGTGCAGAGCCTAACTTTGCCAAAAAAACCTGCCCACCCAACCAGCTGTCACTGCAGTGATTTCTGCATGCTCCTGGAGGCAAAAACATTTCTGCACACATGAGCTTCACACACCTTCTGAGGAAAAGACAAGTACTCAGTAATTTCAGCGTCACATGGAAAAGCTACAAATTCTCTATCATGTAAGTCAAAATCAACATCAAGTTTTCCGGTTTCAATGCAAAGAGAACATAGAATCTAAATGTAATAAGATGCTTCACAAATACTGATTATGTATTTTCATATTCAATTGATCTTGCACTGATTCTTATTAAAGTTTTTCAGTTCTTCTTGGCCATTACTTGGTAATGTTCTTCTTTCAGGAGTAACGGTCTAGTTTGAAAAAACTTAAACAAATGCAGCAAGCATGGGGGCAGAGAATGGAGGTTGCGACTGTTGCTTGGAGCAAGCAGAATGGAAAGGGATGGTCTAGAGGGGGTCAGAGTGGTGCTGTAGCCCTCCCTGCCTTCCCTGTTGGCCACTGAGGGAAGAAGCTGTGTTTGAGACTGGGGAGTCTGAGCAATCTGCTGGGACCAGATCCCAGCCCAGTCGCTTAACACTGTGAGCATGCCTCCCAACCTCTGCTTCTGCTCTTGTAAACACAAGTTTTAAATGTTTAAAAATAAAAGGCAGCCGGCGTGGTGGCGCATGCCTGTAGTCCCAGCACTTGGGAAGCAGAGGAAGGCGTATCTCTGTGAGTTCAAGGCCAGCCTGGTCTACATAGTGAGTTCAGGTCAGCTGGGACTACAGGGAGACCCTGTCTCAAAAAGGAAAATAAATAAATAAATAAATGGCTTTAAAAAGGTAGGCATAACATTTGCTCCTTTGGTTTATGAAGATAGTTAACATGCATAAGAGTTTTAGAAGGGGCCTGGCACACAGGAGCCACCAGGGGCTGCTCAGTCTGCCCTGAGCAGATGAGCACCTGGCCACCTGGGTGAATTCCAGTGCAGTTGGCCATTTTCCTGGTAACTCATGAATTTTCCAACCTGTACTTCAAAGGATCATGTAGAAATGAGAGGGACAAGTGGCCCTCCCAGCCAGCCTTCAGCCCCACCAACTGGCACATTTGTGACAGCAAGCTGGAGCATCATTAGGCCCCTGGAGATATTGCGGCAGGAAGGCCAGTGTAGCTTGATGATACTTTGACGGCCATGTGAGGAGAGGGCTTAGTCTCTCAGTGCCACGGTCCTTCTTCTTGCCATGGCTGACTCTTGTTTTTTTTCCTTGTCTTTGCCCCTGTGGACACCACATCTGTCTCCTCCCTCCTTGCCTGCTGCCTTGGCTCTTCCCAAGTCCCAGCTGCCCTCACATCCTTGGCTTCCAAGCCCTCTCTTTTCCCAACTTTGTGGTCCCCTCAATCATTACTCCATACAGCTGAGACTTGAAGCTCAGCTTCTTTTTAAAAAAATTTGTATTTATTTATTTTAATTTGTATGTATATGTGTGTTTTGCTTACATGTATATAAGTGTACTCATGTATGCAAAGCCCACTGAGGTCAGAAGTTCCCTAGAACTGGAGTTACAGATGGTTGTTAGCTGCCACGTGGGTCCTGGGAGCTAAAACCAGGTCCTCTTCAAAAGCAGCCAGTGCTCTTAACTGCTGAGCCATCTCTCCAGGCCCAGAGCTCAGTTTTTTTAAACTTTAACTACATGAAAATTTGTAAGTGTGTCAGGTCACAAATCATGAGCATCTTTGAAAAAGTAACAAATGACTAAAGCTTGAAAGATGAAACAGGCAACAGAAGGAGATGCACAGACAATTCAGAAAGAGACTTAAATAACTCTAACATTTTAAAGAAAAAAGAGAAACAGTTGGACAAAATGGATGAAAATATGGAAAATCCTAACTATTGGAATCTTTAAAAAACCAAATATATAATAAGAACTGGAAAATAAAATATCTGAAAAAAACAAAGAACTCATTGAATGGACTTAATAGAACCCTGGGAAAGGAACACGGAAAGGAGATGACCGGATACCAAACTAGGAACACGGGAAGGGGATGACCGGATACCAAACTAGGAACACGGGAAGGAGATGACTGGATACCAAGCTAGAAGAGGCCTCAACAGAAAACTGAGGGTGAATGCGGGGAGCCGCACCAGATATGCCACAGTCCAGTGACTGAAGGCCTGAAGCTTCGGGTATTTAACCATCACTGCACTTCTTTAAAAAAATTGTTTTACTGGAGCTGGAGAGATGGCTCAGCAGTTAAGAACGCTGGTTGTTCTTGCAGAAGATCCAGGTTCAAATCCCAGCACCCACATGGCAGCTAACAACTGTCTGTAACTCCAGTCCCAGGGGATCCAACAGCCTCTTCTGACCTCCACGGGCATTGCATAACATGGGTGCACTTACCTACATGCAGGCAGTACACGCACACACATAAAATAAAAATAGTAAATAAAAATTTTAAAAATTGTTTTACTTACTCATTTTTATTTTTATGTGTATAAGTGTTTTGCCTGCATGTATGTTAAGTGCACCCATGTGTGCAGTGCCCATGGAGGCCAGAAGAGGGTGTCTAATCCCTTGGAACTGGAGTTACAGATGGTTGTTAGCCGCCATGTGGGTATTAGGAGCCTAACCAGGGTCCTCTGTAAGAGCAGCCAGTGAGCCAACCTTTCAGTCCCCACCACTGCATTTCCCAATGTGCCAGACAATGCACTAAAGTGCTGTAAAATACAACTCAACATTTTTTTTAAAAATCCTAATGAAAACATTTTATTGCATGCTTACTTTTTTTGTTTATGACATGTTATGAGCTCCCATGTTTAAAGCCAGGATTTGGCTTAGTTCCATTTGCTGTGTGAACACACTGGTGACCATTCCATCAGGTTTGCTGGAGTCAGCCAGGCACACCTGTGCTGCCTGTTGCCGACAAAGGCTATGTCCCCACCTCCTGCTCCACTGAACTGAAAGGCCAGAAGGGCCGGTGACACCCCTCAATGTTCCATAGTACACATGTGATCACACATGCAATGTTGCACACCACTGTGGATCACAAACACGCTGAGATTATTATTAAAATGAAAATATAAGTTTAAAATGTTCTGGGAATCCATGGGACCTGAGACTGTGCTCCAAGTCCTCACGGGTGCAGCAAGAGCACAGAGCAGCAGTGTGCTGTATCTTTCCAGCTCTCAACACTCATGAAATGCACCCATCTAGAATGTTCAGAAGGACTGACCTCAGAGTCAGTCATCAAGCTACCTAAATGCATGCTTTTCTCGTTAAAACTAAACACAGACCACATGGGATCTGAGGATTGGCCACCTTCTACCCCTGAAAAACAACGAATGGCCTTTGGAGACAGAAAAAGTACTTTGAAGTCACTTTCACTGCTTGAGAGCTGGTGCTTTTGAGCTGTCATCATTAGTAGCACCTGGCATGTCTCTGACCTGCTGCAGGTACTCCCTAAAGTTGGCACCCACCTCCTGGACTTTGTCTGCAACCTTGCCAACTTGACTTCTAAGCATCCTTCCTAAGCTTGCTGGGAAGGTAGGAGTGGCTTCAGCTGTGACCCTCCCAGGGATGAAAGGATGTTGCCTGAGGAGTACTGGGCATGTTGCCTGTGGGAAGCTAAGAGGACAATACAGGGCTTGTCAGCCAAGGGCCCTGCAGCCCAGCCCTGGGTCAGAAACCCTTACCCTGAACTCCTATAGCAGAGACATTCTGTATACTTCATCTTGTTTATCTTAGTTTTACATATCAATGTCTCAACAATAAATTTGGTAGTTTTGTATGGAAAGAAGGAAAATGCATCTGAGGGGAATAACGGGAAGGCCAGGAAGGGAAGGCTGTATCTGCTGTTACTCTAGACTCGTGAGGTCCTCGGAGCTATCTTTTCACTTCTCGTTTTCTTTTCTTTCTTCCTTTTCTTTTGTAAAGACAAGGTAGCTAGTCCTTTATAACAGGGAGAGACCGGTGGACAGGAAGATCTGTCCACGATCCTAGTTATCATAATATAACAATAGCTCGTTAAAAAGAAAATACCGCCGGGCCTGGAAGGCATCTAGACACCCCCTCCTTTGCAATGGAGTCCTTCCCTCTGCATAAGTACCTGTGGTGGGCTTGGCCTTCTTTTAAGCACAAGTCTTAGTACAGGCCAGGAAAGAGAAGGGTAGCACATTAAATGGGTACTAATGCTCCACATTAAATGGGTACTAATGTTCAAACCTCACTGCCCCCAGCATCGCCCTGGGTTGGCAGCTCTCTGAAGCAGATCCCGAGTCAAGGATTTAAGTTCCAGCGATTTGCCAAGAAAAAGCTCCCAGAGGGAAGAGGAGACACTGAAGGGTGTGTTCAGATGCGCCAAAAGGGATCCCAAGTCCTGGGGGAACCCAGGAACATGTGAGAACTATAGACATGACCTGGCCATTCCACTCCTAGGATTATACCCAGAAGAACTGAAAACAGGGCCTCAAACAGAATCTGGGGTTCCAGTGTTCACAGCAGCACAGTAATCACAGTAGCCAAATAGCAGAAATAGCCCAACTGTACATCAACAGATGAACAGAATTCAATGGCTCCTCCTTGGTGGTGATGAAAAGTGACAAACATCTAAGAACAGTGGTGACAGCAGAGATCCAGTAGTGTTGTCACTATACTGAAAATGAAAGAGGGACAGCTGCGCTCACAGCAAAGGAAAATGGGCAAAAGGTGAGCAGACATTTCACAAGAGAGCTGAAAGACTAGAGGGGGAAACGGGCTCAAGTCTGTCAATCACCAGGAAAATGCACAGCCAAGTCCACTGAGGTGCTAGTGTGCACCCCCAGGCCAAAACGACAGAAAATAACATGCATAGAGGTAGATGCAAGCTCTTACGCACACCCCTGATGAATGGGCACCCCTGTTTTGGTATCACTAAAACTGAACATAGGCACACCCGTGACAAAATAAACACCAGAAATACCCAACAAGAATGCAACTTTGTTCTCAAAAGACATATGAAAATCTTCATAGCAGCATTGTTTATAATAACCCAAACTGGGCAGTTCTCAACTAGCCAGCAGCAGACAACTTCTGTTTTACTGAATACCCATGAGAAGGGGATCTGGGTGGTGAACTCTTCCCAGAGGCCAGCCCACACATCTCCACACTCAGGTCCGACGTGTGAGTGTGAGTTCAGTTCAGGGTGGCCATGCCCTCTCAGTCCTCTCAATTTGAGAATCAACCTTGCTGAAGTGTAATCCCAGCTCCGGCTCTGCCATTTACACTGATGATTTTAAGTCAACAACTTTTCAGGCCAGAGGATACTCAACTGTAAAACTCCAGGGAATCGTTTAAGTGGGAGCGCTGATAGAAACATTTTACTTTGCACATTTAAAACGCAATGATAACATAAGGAATTTATTTATCAAGGACTTACACAGAGCTTACACTGTTCCAAGTTCTGCCATAAGTAGAACATAACTGCTAACGTATTTGCTGTTCATTCCCTAAGAGAGATATTCCGTTATTATCCTTGCTTTACTGTTGTGGAAACTGAGGCACAGGGCAGTTTCCTCCCCCTCCACGTCTTGTCCTGGGTGGCACACCTAGAATTCAGTATCCCTGTTCCTAGTCGGTGATCCCTGCCATTGCTCTTGTCAGCTGTGAGCACCACGACTAGGAAAGGGACACTGATGCTAGGATTAAAGGTGTGTCCTCCCAGCACTTGGGAGGCAGAGGCAGGCAGATATCTGAGTTTGAGGCCAGCCTGGTCTACACAGTGAGTTCCAGGTCAGCTATAGTCTCTCTGGGGCCACAGGAAGACCCTGTCTCAAAAAGACCAAAGGGGGGAAAAAAAAAGTGTGGACATTCCTGAGGAGATGCTCACTCAGCTGGCACTGGTCTCTCCCAGGCTAACCCAGCCTATGCCCAATGCTTCGCTTCTGACATCTGCCGGCAGCACGGAGCATGACACCGCCTCTCTTTTTTCTTGTCTGCCTGCGGAGTGGGGTGGAGTGGCGGTCCTAAGTTCCTTCACCAGTCTGCCTTCTTTTCTCTAGACCTTTCAGTCTTCTGATAGGTGCTACATGTCTTTGCCTAGGACTGAGGTACAACTGGCAAGGGGAGCAGGGGAATGAGCTTATGCCACCACGTCCAGAATAATCAATGAGTGATACCGTTTAAAGACCCTGTTGAGAGGGACTGTTCTAAAGAGCATCAAGCATACGTTATCTGTATGGCTAAGAGACTTAAAGGAGGGAGGGAGGTCAGTACTGTGCAAAAGCGGCCTAAGCCTGGAGACCGGAAGCACAGGCAGGCACCACGTGTGGGTTGCAGGCGTTTTATCCTGGAGAGTCTCCCTCTGGTGTCTGCAAAGGACACTTCACTCTCCAGAGGTGGGTGTATCCAGCTCAGGCTTCTTTCTGGATTCCCGTCCTCACTTTCTTCGCTCTGCCCGCCCCCCGCCCCAGGAAGGCCCTGTAGTCCTGGAATCAGACTGCTCTGGCTCTAGTCCCACTTCTACAACTCAGTAGCTATGTGACTTTACCTGAGACCCAGTTTCCACCTGTGAAATGGGACAAGAGAGAATCCAGTGTTTTTATAAGCACTGTCACTAGTCCAAGCCACTTGCAGCACAATAGCCTCACAGCTTCCACTACTTTTTCTCTCATCTTTTTCCACACAGCAGTCAGGATAAAATCTTTAAAGTCACATCAGTTTACTTTCCAACCCAACTACATCCCACACCTTTACAGTGGACCTGCAACCTCTCCATGGTTGACCCTGACTCCTACTGCCTTCCAACCTCCTCTCCTTCCACTCTGCCTGATGACCTCACTCATTTCTTCAATACTCCAAGCATCTCCTGCCCCCTGGATCTTTGCATGTACTCTTGAATGTAATTATCTTTCCCTGGATGCACAATGTGTGGCTGAGAGAGAAGATCCTACGTTTACCGAAAATAGTATATATAGAAATATCTACAATTTTATACACTGAAAATTTCAAAACATATTCCACTCAGTACTTCTTATATGTCAACCCGATCTGAGGGAGCATTTTATACATATATTAAATACTCATGATATCAACACTGCATATAGGCACTATTTTTATGACTTGGTATATGATAAAGCTAAAGCACAGAAAAGTTAATCTGGCCAAAGTTATGATGCGCTCTACAGGGTCAGGATCAAAACCCAGGGAGTGCCATGTCTTTGCCCACAACATTATGAAGCTTCATAATATGTGTGACTTGTCATATATAAGTTACATATAAATATCTGTACCATTTTTTAGTCTTCTATTCCATCAGGTCACCTCAGCATGATCTCCCTGTTTCTGTTCTCCTATGGCACCATCACCACCTTCCACATCACACACATGCTTGTCTCCTGGTTCTGTAAAAATATTTACTGCCAGGCATGCTACCACACTCTTTTAATCCCAGCACTCAGGATAGAAAGGACTTAATAGATGTTAGCTGCTTTTTCATTCCTGTTGTTTATTTCAAGGACACAAAGGGAAAGCTGAGTCCAGCAGTAGCTCCCACATACGGAAGGGAGAGAGCTGGAGGCTGTCAGCAGCTCGCTTAGGCACCTCTGGAGATGATGAAGTGAGGGATTCAACATGACCACACTTCAGCTTTGGGAAGGAGATCTGGCCGACAAGATGGCCCGGAGGTTAAGATGTGAGGCCCAAGTGCAGTTCCTTACTGGATAGCTCCCAACTGTCTATAACTCCGGCTGCAGCGGATCTGGCCCCTGAGGGCACCTGCACACATGTGCACACACACACACACACACACACACACACACAATTAAAAATATAAAGGAATTCTGCCAGAAGTGTGTGGGGTTTGGTTATGAACAGCAGAGCAAGGAGAGAGCAGACAGTTCCCAGAGTTACTATGTCTCCAGCATTGGTCCACACGGAGCCTACATTCTAGGTGGAAATGTTTCAAAGCTTTTTTCAGACGGTTTGCATGCACATGTGTGCATGTGTGTGGAGGTCACAGGTCAACCCTGGATGTTGTTTTTCAGAAGTTGTCCACCAGCTTGTTTGGTGGGTTTTTTTTTGTTTTTTGTTTTTTTCTTTTGAGACAGGGTCTCTCACTGTCCCATAGTGTGCCAATTAGGGTAGGCTGTCTGGTCAGTGAGCCACAGCATTGGGATTGCAAGTATGTCTCACTGCAGTTGGCATCTTTACAGGGGTGCTGGCAATCAAACTTGGGTCCTCACGCTTGCATAGCAAGTATTTTATTATCTCCCCATCCCTGTTTGGAATTCACTATGTAACCCAAACTGGCCTCAAACTCATGACAATCCTTCTGCCTCAGCTTCCCATCAGGCTTGACTCATAGGCTTCAAGAGTCCTCATAAATTCTAAGATGTAAGTGGATAGATATGTATTATTCTCGTTTTTATGAAGAGGAAACTGAGGCTGAGTGGTGAAATAGCTTGTCAACTCAGGAGTCAACAAGAGAGAACTCTGGACCAAGACTACATGTCTTCTTCCATAACCAAGTCTTGCTGCTCTTGTCTCTCTAAGATATAAGCTGTTTAAACTAATAGTATTTGATGATGTAGACAAATTAAGGTTTAACACAGCAGCACTGACCCATTTCCTACATCTTCCAATAAGTGTCTTATATTTTTGTGACAGGGACTTTCAAGGTACAGCAGTGGGACATGGACAGACACGACTTTCTTGAATCTGCTCCTGGTTTGGGAATGTTTGTGACAATTACAACTTACAATGATGAGGTAAAATATTTTTACATTTTCCTTTCTAAAATTTCACATTCTGTGTTCCCTGTTTTAAAAGCTCTACATAAGCATCAATCGGCGTTTATAATCTTTCCCGTAGTACTGCATAAAAGCATGACACAAAATGTAGAAAGGAGACCAGCAAGGTGGTCAATAAGTGCAGCCACTTGCCACCAAGCCATACAACATGAGTTTGATCCCTGGGACCCACATGGTAGAAGGAGAGAATCAATTTCTGCAAGTTGTCCTCTGACCATGTATGAGCACACACACATATAAATAAATAAGTTAATAGTAAATAAATATAAATAAAAAACAATAAACAAATAAATAAATATAATAAAAATGTAGAAAGGGCTGACCTTCAAGGTTCCCCACGGTCTAGATGACTTGGGAAATGAAAAGGTGGCTCACAGGGGTCATTAGGAGGCTTGATTTCATAACTGCCAGGCCCCACCTACTTTGCCAGCTCCCCAAAGCAGGAGGGTAACATAAAATACCTCCTGTCTCCTTTCTCCCATTCTGGAAGAGGCCTTCTTGAGTAAGGGAGCAGCCTCTGTTCTTCACTGGGAGCTACGATGGTTGAGAGAATGCGACTCTTGAAGGAGAGCCAAGTTCATGTGCTGACTGTCATCCACAAGTACAGCGGGGGCAGCTCTTTGACGGCTCCCCTCAGTTATCTCTTCTGTCTGACGGATGTCACAGAGGCATCCAGTCTGTAGCTGTGCCAGTCCAAGGTCTCCGGATTGCTCAGCCCACTGACCCGAGCACAGTTGTCCTGCAGCTGTGCTCACAGGTAACAGGATGCAGCTGGACCAATGCTTCAGGGAACAGGATGGCTGTCTTTCTAGCTGGCAAGACGAAGGTGCTTGATGTAGTGGGGCAAAGTCTGGTTCTCATGGCAACTAAGTCATTAATCAGCCCAAGTTCAGGCTATACAGTTTGATGTCCTAAGTATCAGTGAGATGGAAATTGTGCCACCGAAGATCAGTCTCAAGTCCATCCCAAGGATGACCTTGGACCTTCCCTCCCTGTTTTTAGCAGTGTTCTCTAAGCACACTTGTCACCCCCTGTCCCACTGGCACCAGTTTTTCTCACCCTAGCCATGATGGCTACTTCTTCTTCCCATTCCACATCTCCCATGCTTGTTGCTCTATCAAAATCAATTTTCTCCTGTTCTTTCCCAATAATCTTTGATAAGCTGTCTGAAAATAGTTCCAATGCTTATTTAATCACATTAAATTTATACTTAGGCTAAAAATGTCAAAAACCAGTTTATTTCTTTTAAAATACAGAAGAGAATAATTCTTTGAAATATATAGTTCCTGAAGCTGGGTACAGTAGTATGTACTGTAACCCCAGATATTCAGGAGGCGGAGGCAGGTGGATTGTCTGAGCCCATGAGTTCAAGGCCAGCCTGGGAAACACAGGCAGACCCTATCTCTTTTTTTGTTTGTTTGTTTGTTTGTTTGTTTAGTCTTTTTGAGACAGGCTCTCTCTGTAGCCTCAGCTGGCCTGGAACTTGCTTTGTAGACCAGGCTGATCTTGAACTCACAGAGATCCGCCAGCCTCTGCCTCCTGAGTGCTGGGATTAAAGGCGTGTGCCACCACGCCCAGCTGTTTGTTTTATTTTTATGTGTATGAGTGTTTTGCCTGCATGTGTCTAAGTGCATCGATGTCATGCAATGCCCATGGAGACCAGAAGAGGATGTCAGAGCCTCTGGAACTGGAGTTAAGACAGATGTGAGCCACCATGTGGGTGCTGGGAACTGAACTTGGGTCTACTGCAAGTGCTCTTAACCACTGAGCCATCACTCCAGCTCCTATCTCTTTTTAAAAAAAATCACAATTGGGGAGCTGGAGAGACAGCTCAGTGGTTAAGAACACTGACTGCTCTTGCAGAGGACCTGGGTTCGATTTCCAGCACCCACATGGTGGCTAAAAACCATCGGTAACTCCAGTTCCAGGGGCTCTGATGCCTTTTTCTGTCCTCCATGGGACTGCATGATACCAGTGCGCTTACACACATGCAGGCAATACACTCATACACATAAAATGAAATGAATAAAATATATTTTTTAAAAAGACAAAGAAAATTAAAAGGATACTAATTGGAAGAGAAAAGGTCAAATTATCACTATTTGCAGATGATATATTATACACAAGATATCCCAAAAATTCCACTAGAAAACTTCTAGAAATGATTAACACTTTCAACAAAGTAGCAGGGTACAAAATCAATTTCCAAAAGTCACTAGTGTTTCTATATACCAATAACAAGCAATCACAGAAAGATATCAAGGAAACACTCCCATTTGCAATAGCCTCAAAAAGAAAATCTAGGAATAACCCTAACCAAAAACATTAAAGATCCGTACAATGAAAACTTTTGAAAGCAGTTAGAAGACACAAGGAGACGAAAAGACCTCCCATGCTCATGGATTGGTAGAATTAATATTGTGAGAATGATCATCTTACCAAGAGCAATTTATAGATTCAATGTAATCAAAATTCCCATGACATTCTTCACAGAAATAGAAAAAAAACCCTGAAAATTCATATAGAATTACGAAAGATCCCAGATAGCCAAAGCAATCCTGAGCACAAAGAGCAATGCTGTGGGGATTACGATTCCAGATTTCAAACTATGTTACAGAGCTATCGTCATAAACAGCATGGTATTGGCACAAAAACAGACATGCAGATCAATGGAATAAAATAGAGACCCAAACATGAGTACACCCAATTTCAGCCACCTGATATTTCACAAAGATGCCAAGAATACACACTGGAGGAAAGACAGCATCTTCAACAAATGGTGCTAAGAAAACTAGATTCCTATGTATAGAAGAATAAAATTAGACCCCTATCTATCACCCTGCACAAAAGTCAACTCCAATGTGAAACCTGAAATTCTGAAACTATTAGAAGAAAACACAGGCCGCACCCTACAAGTCATAGGTGCAGGAAAGGACTTTCTAAGCTGGACATCAGTTGCTCAGGAATTAATGTCAACAATTGACAAATGGGATCACATTAAACTAAAAAGCTTCTGTACAGCAAAGAAAATAACCAATTGAGTGAAGAGGAAGCCCATAGAATGGGAGAAAATCTTTGCCAGCTACACATCCGACAGAGGATTAATATCCAAAATACAAAGAATTCAAAAAACAAAGAATCAAGAAAAATAAATCACCCAATTAAAAATGGGCTGCGGCTCAGAACAGAGCGTTCTCCAAAGAAGAAATAAAAATGGCTAAGAAACACCTTTAAAAGTGTTCAACAGCCTTAGTAACCAGGAAACTGCAAATTAAAACTACTTCAAGTTTCGTCTCACTCCTGTCAGACTGGCCAATATCAAGAGAACAAATGACACCAAATGCTGGCAGGGATGTGTGGGAAGAGGAACCTCCTTCACTGCTGGTGGGACTGAGAACTGGTACAACCACTGTGGAAAACAGTGTGGAGAACTCTTAGAAAACCAAAACCACATCTACAATCCATTTATATCACTGCTTGGCGTCTACCCAAAGAATTTGACATTCTACTACAGAGACACTTGCTCAGTCATGTTTGCTGCTGCTCTTTTCACAGTAGCTAAGAAATGGAAACAACCTACATGTCCCTCAACCAATGAAAAGGTAATGAAACTGTGGTACATTTACACAACAGAGTTCTATTCAGTGGTAAAAAAAAAAAAAGAAAGATGAAATCATTAAAGTTGCAGGTAAATGGATGGAACCGGAAATTGTTATACTAAGTGAAGTAACATAGACTCAGAAAAACAAGCAACACGTGTTGTCTTGTCATTTGTAGATCCTAGCTCTAAATCCTTAGATGTGAGTATATATCCTGATGTAACTGCATTAGCCAGGAAAATGGAAAGGAGCTATGGGGATGAAGGTACTTAAGAGAGGGGGATAGTAAGGAACAGGAGCTATAAAGGGGAAAGGGGCAAATGAGGGATGTTTTAACTGGGGCGGGAATGGGTAGGGTGATACAGGGGAGAGAGTGGAGAGGTAAATAATATAGGTTGTATAAAAATTCACAGACTGGGAAGTTAAAAATTTTTTTAAGTACTTTAATAACTAAACTGATATAACTCTCAAACTAAAAATATGTATTTTAGAATGTAAATTTGCAATTCTATGTCTACTGTAATTTTTCAGTATTATTTACTAACAAAACTGTATTACCAAGCTTCAACAATACTGTGAAATTTCTCACTGTTGCTGTCATGTGAGTTTGCCATTACTCATCACCCTTACACATTCAACAACCTATACAAGGTTTTTTAATATAATCATGGTTTTTTTTTTTGGAAAGGAAAAAAAAGCAATGCTAATAAAAAGGCAGAAAACCCAGAGGGAAATGTATTAGTTCAAAATTCTACTGAAAAATACACGTGTAACACACAAAGCCAGGCAGGGAAAATCCCCTTCGAGCTGTGGTCAGGGTAGTCCAAGAGACTCCCAAAAGAATACAGCCCTTGATCGACTCCCATAACTTAAAGGTAAGACCCTATTGCTGAAGACAGGACGTGCTTTGGACACAGACCTTGGAGCAATGGAGCTGGAACTGAGCTGGAAGCTCCTCCCTGAAGACCAGCTCTCATAGGATCAGAGGAGACTGTGCAAGCTGCCAAGGGAGAACATCAATCAATGATTTCATCCAGCTGTAAAGTCCATGAACCACAACGACTGACCCACCAAATTATTTATTTATTATTTTTATTTTATGTCTATGTGTGTATTGCCTGCGTGTAGGTAAGTGTACTCATGTTGTGCAATGCCTGTGGAGGACAAAAGAGGCCATCGAAGAGGCCGTTGGAGTCCCTGGAACTGGAGGCTAGCTGCCATGTGGGTACTGGGATTCGAACCCGGGTCTTCTGTAAGAACAGCCAGTGTTTTTAACCACTGAGCCATCTCTCCAGCCCCCCATCAAATAATTTCTACTGGTGCAGTAGTGGTACTTTTATCTTGGTGTAATCAACAGCT